ATTATTAGTTAAGTTCTATATATTATTAATTAAATTCTATATATTATTAGTTAAATTCAATATATTATTTAAAATTATAATTAATTTATTAAAAATCTATAAATATTTCTAAATTAATAGACGAACTGAAGGTTCGGTATCTTCAGTAATGAACTTAGAGTCGCCACTATTGTTCAACCCGTTGGCCAACATTTACGGTCTAAAAGATGGTCCGCATCGGGTTTACTCGGTATACATGCCTGTAAATGATGGTAACACCAACTCAATAGATACGGATCATATGATGACTTCCGAGTCGGCACCGCTGACCACTGCTGCTCGGGTCGGCTCTACTATTGATCGGCGCAGGGATTCAAAGTCAAAACGGTTGTCTTCGGGCGGCGGCGGCGTCAGCAAAGCTATTGGCAGTCAATTGGGTTCGGCGTTTGGACTGTTTGGCCGCGATTTTGGCCGTGCATTCAAAACAATGGGCTACGAATTGGGCAACAATTTTGGCGACAACTTTATGACCATTAATAAAGGCTTTATAAAAAAGTCTAAATCAAAGAAAACGGGATTTTTTACGGGAACCTCCAATATTGGCAAACATTTTAAAAAGTTTTTTATCAAATTTAATTTGTAAATTATAAATATTTTTTGTTATATATATATATATATATACACACACACAGTATAACAGTTATATTTTTGTTAACAATAAATTTATTATTATTTTTTGTTCAAATTATCTATAATTTTATTATTAATTTTCATTAAATGAATTTTTTGTATTTTATTTTGTTATTTAAAAAAAATTATATTTGTTTTGTTATACTAAATAAATTTATATTTAATATCCTCATAAATATACTGATTTCAAAGTTTTTATTCAAGTAATTATTTTCAAATAAAATAAAAATATATATTTTTTTAATTAAAAAAATGTTTATTGTTTTGTTATAAACATTACTTATATTTAAATACAGTATACTAGTGTATACGAAATTAACTAATTACTAATAAATTATATTATACTATAGATTAATAGTATTAAAATCTTTTTTAATAAAATTAAATATAAAATAGTTTCTTAAATGTAATTATATAAATATCTACATAAATATGTTACACAAATGATAAAAAATTAATATTGTTTTATAAAATATTTTAAACTATAATATTTAATTGTAGATATGATTTGTAAAAAATATAACAATTATAACATTAGTTATAACAAATTAATTATTAGACACAAATAAAATAAGTTTGTATTGAAATTAACTAATAAACAAGAGTAAATAACTAAATTTAAGTATTATTATCACTATATTTATTTATATGAAATAATACTCATTTATTTGATTACAGTTTTATAAAGAAAATAAATACTAAAAATAAATAAATAATTATTATTATTAATGAAAAAGTGAAAAAATTAAGTAAATTAATATATATATTTAAAATGTAATACTTATTGATATAGTTTTAATTTATTTCAAATGTACTTGAAATATTTATATATATATTTTTATTTCAAATAATTTACTAAAATATAACATTGAAATAGACAATTATATTATTGTATAAATCAAATATATATAATAAATAAACAGTTATCTATAATATATGATAAATTTTAGACTAAAATCTTTTAGTACACAAACTAAACAATAAATATACTGTTATATTATAATAGACATATATACAATATATATAATGTAGTTTTTTTTATTAATAAATATAAACGATTCAAATATTTAGATTAAATTATCTGTTAAATAGTGCAATGTTTTTAAGTCTAAAAAAATATATTTACTAAAAAAATTACAGTTAAATTAAAAAAACAAACAAAAAATAAAGTAATAAAATAGTTTTATATAAACCTTTTTATAAATAACTTATTTTATTTTGCAAATATATTTTTAATTACAGTTAATTCATATTTATATTTTCAAAAAAAAAAATGTTTGCCAAAAAATTTTATTTCAATTTTACCTTATTATTATTATCATTATTGTTTATTGCAAACTTTAATTATAATACTTATGCGGCTAATATCACATTAAATTGTTTCAATTATCATTTAACTAATGAAAGTAATAATAATAATACTTTAAACTTAATTTTATTAACTAATTGTAATGATAATAATAATAGTTTGAAACTACAACAACAAAACATCAGTTTGCTAACAATAAATGCCAACTTAACTAATGTTAAGCACTTGTATATAAATACTAATAAAACATATATAGTTTGGTCTACCAGTGCTCGTAATAGTCCATTATATTATACAAAAATAAACTATACTTTGAATTATTCTACTAAACATAATAATAATAATGATTATCATTTTAATATACATACTAATCAATCAAATGTTTTAATCAATAAGACATTTAATGGTTTATTCACTGTCGATGAGATTCACGATTTAGTCTATTATATAAACTCAAGTAATATAAATGTTATCCGTATTCACGATAATCAGTACAAAAATTATGAATTATTACAAAATACCGATAAGTGGTGGCCATATGTTTACGGAATTGTTGTCAATCCGATCGACGGGTTTATTGTTTGGACACAATATAACTATTACGGCAAAGTTGTTATGCGACGAAGCAATTTGTCGGACGCCAGTAGCGGCCAACTGGTACTGGTGTTTGAAAACATTGTTAAACCCGTTTGTATGGCCATTGACTTCGCCAGCAAACAGATTGTATGGATTGACACAGCATTACAGTCGCTGTCATCCATTGATTATATGGGTTATCAACGAAAGACATTGAAAGTATCTAAACAATACTTCAGTGATTGCGAGTCAATGGATATTATCAATGGATGGCTGTATTGGACATCACCAACAAATAGATCCACATTTATGCTGAGTTTAGCTGACAACAGTACTATTGATGAAACTAAATCAATACAATTAATTGCTAGAAATGTTAGTATAGCTAAACTAATTAATACAAACCGGAAACTAAATGTTAGCAAAAATTGTCAAAACAATGATACCAGTGCTAACCTATGTCTGCCTGATGGCCATAATAATGATAATAATAATAATAGTAATCAATCTTCTAGTATGTGTGCATTACATGGCCAGTCATCGCATCATAAAAGTCAGGTTATGTCAAAACTACCGGAATTTCTTGCAAATACCAGTGCTATCAACGACTTTATGGTCAACAGCAAAGATAATGAGACATTCATACTGTTTGCTAGCAATTATCACGACATACGACTGGCCAAACTGTCGGCGTCGGTCAGTAATCAACAGCCAATTGACTATCGGAAGACTCTATTGTTGAATACAGTTTCACTTGGCTTTCAGTCGCTGGACTACAGTTTTGACGGCAATTATATTGTATGGATAGCCGAGTCATATCAGCCAAACTCCCAGTACTCACTGTATGGCAAACCGTTGAACCCGCGAAAACCTAGTGTTCTAACCGATGAGCTAACGGTGCGCTTGAATGTGACAAACGCCGAAAAACCTTCAGCACTGGCCGTCGATTGGATCAATAATTTGGCATATTTTCATCGGTGCAGTTATATTAGCAATCAACGAGGCATATATGTAGTTAATTTGACAGCTGCAGCACCGGTAGTCAATCGGCTGCGAGAAATTAAAATCATATCATTGGACACCTGTAATACTGAGGAACTTCGAGTCGATCCCAACGAATCGGTTATGTTTTGGACAGAAATACCGAGTGTGAACAGTAAGAACAGTCCGGTTATTATCTATAAAGCTTCGATGGATGGACAGGGAGTTCGCGAGTTGTACTATCAGACACACTATATAAAATCTACGCTTACCTTAGATCTGGTGGCCAAACGGGTCTGTTGGCTAACATATCAACGGCTGGCCGACCCACAGACAGACAATTCAAACCTATTGATGTGTGTCTCGTATGATGGCAGGCATCGGGAGGAACATCATATCAATGGATCTCTATATACTAATAGCTTAGGCAGTAGTAGTAGTAGTAGTAAACAACACATTGATTTAGTGGACAGTAGTTATCTGTATTGGACAGACACTGTAAATCATACGATTGTTGTCACAAATCTAACGCAAATCAATGACAGCACTAACAGTAGTAGTAATGTTTTGCTAAAACTGGACAAAGATGTCACCGATTTTAGGTTAATTGACTGGAAAAGTCAGCTAAAATCTAGTATAAATAGATGTCATCGACACGACTGTCCACATTGGTGTCTACTAAGTAGCGTCGATCCTCGGGGCTATAGTTGTTTGGTTAACGAGTTTGCAGATGAGATACAAAACGTAGGTATGGGTATGGGCTCTGCATTTTTGGGAACTGGTATAACCCGGGCAACAAACAGTGCTCCAGTAGCTATACATTGGAAAGTATGGCCATTAATATTAATTTGTTTGATTATAATATATGGAAATATTTATCATTATTAACAAATTATTTATAATTAAAAATAAAATTATTAATGATATTAATTTTGGCAATTATATTAATACCCTTAATCTATTTAATCAAATGTTAAATGATTTATGTTTTAACTATTTTTAAAAAAATAAATTAATAGAAAGTTAGTTGTTTTTATTAATTAATTAGTGGGTAAAAATTCAATAGTTATTATTTAAATATATTAAATGCTAAATATTTATTTTAGATTTTTCTCTTACTATTGTATTTATAACAATATTGCACTGCAATTGCACTTTAAATTATAAATTAACTATTAAATAATTAAATAAATATATATATATATATATAAAATTTTGTGTGTATATTATTTGTATATCAATATATATTTAATTATATCATATTTTTATTTGTAAATAATTACAAAAAAAAATTATTATTAATATTTATTTAACATTAGCTATTAATATCAGTAGATAAATTGTTACTGTAATAAACAAACAAAAAATAATTATAATTATTTATATATTGTATCCGGTTTAATTTTCCAAAAAATACATATAATACAAAAAGTAATATATAGTTAATTATTATATTATGAAATTTTCAATTATCCTCTAAACTGATGTCGGTATCAATTTTATTTTTGCGAAATTTTGCAGTAAATTTCGGAGATCTGTAAAAATATTTGTATATAAAATATATATTTTAATAAATAAAAAATTTCTAAAAAACAAATTAATCATATTTTTTACATTTTGTTTCTGTGATATATTGTAATATATGCAATACAGATGAGTAGGACAGCCACTGATACAACCGCAACAATTGTCCAATAGATGCTTATATTACGTTTGATGGGTAAGTCCTAAACAAACAAACAAACAATAATCTGTTAGTTATTGTCTCAATCAACAAAATACATGAACAATAAATGTTCAAAAAAAATAATAGCATAAATACCCTATTATTAAGACACTGACTACCCGTCCACGAATGACCCAATGAACACAAACAGGTATAACCAGCGGACACATTGAATGTCGGTACACACATATGCGAACAGTTATGATTCAGACAGCGATCAATCATAGAGTTTGGCTGTTGGCTCAGGGAGATAATCTTAAAGTAGGCTATGTTTGCTATGTTGGACACAAATATTTTGGTCAAATTTGTTGGCAGCGCTGTTTGATTTGATCCATCAATTGCTACCATCATTGACTTTATTGTATTGTCGACTTTGTTAGACCAATAAATATTACCATTCATTACACTGATGCAGGGATTAGTATTTAGCAAATAACTACTTGTTCCCGTATAGACCTGTTTGCCGGTACCATCATATTTCATACAAACTAATACTATTGTTATATCTTTATTTTGTTGTTTTAGACGGTTTAGCCAACACAATCGTTTACTATGAATATCCAGTGTCAATGATTTGGGTAAGGCATCCCTGTCCTCGCCAATCACCAGAATATCGGTATTATCCTGCGATAGTCGCATGATTTGTATGATTACATTCAAACTGATGGAAAATTCTGTCCAAAATACTAGTCCATCGTTCGGATCAACTAAAATATCTTTGACTATTGTTGAACATTTATGTCGTTTACGGGTTAGTTGAGTCCAATATGCGGGTGCGGTTATGTTGACGGCCATCAAACCAAATCGATTACCAGGTTTATCGCAAACAGGCAGATAAGCCAAATGATTGATCCAATCGACGGCCAGTGCGTCGACACGATCGTCGGCACTCATACTGAGCAATGTTTTAGGCACCGGTACCTCATCATCATCAACACTGCCAATAGCACTGGGTTTGAACGGGTCAAGTATTTTGGCATATAGTTTAACTGCTGTATAGTTTAGGGAGTACTGTAACCATACAATATAATTACCGACAATACTGTAGTCTATAATCACATCCTCACCGACAGCAGCCCAGGGATCAAGCGATTCAATAAATTCTGTATGATTATCATTGACTGGCCGTAAAGGACGGGTAGATATTTTGAACAGACGTATATTTTCATTGTTATAATTGTATAAAACTAATGGTTCATTACTGGACACTAGTTGATTGATAGCACTGGCATTATATTTGTCGGATAATGTTTTCAGTTTATTATATAAATCAATTGATTTTTCATCAATTATTGTATGATTAGTATAATTATTATTATTGTTATCTAAATAACTACTGATAACTTTTGATGTATTAATGATTGCACTGTTATTATTATTATTACCATTGTATGAATCATTTAATAAACAATTATAATTATTTAAACTATTTATTATATTGATTATTAAAATTATTGAAAACTTTTCATATAAATTCATTTTCTAAAAAAATTAATTTATAATAAAATATTTTTATAGTATAATTACTTAATTAAATGCACTAAATAAAGTAATTTTTAGTAATTTGTTATAATCATACAAATTAAAAAAATATATTTATCTAAACATTTATGATAATAATATGATTTATTAATTAATTTTTAAAAAAACTCTTTTAAGTTCATTAAACATAATGATATTTCTATCAAAAATTAATTATTTAAAGATAAATCTATTTTGTTGTGTTAAAAGTAATTAATTAAATAATAATATCTTTCATTACAGTATTTATTTATAGAATATAATATTAAATTATCATTTTGTCGTAGTTTACATTAAATATAAAAATTAGATAATACATATAAACAATTTTAATGAAATAACATTTTTTTTTATAAAAAATGTTTTTTTTGGCATAAATAATATTTTATATAAAAATTTTATCTCTATATATATATTTTTAGTAACTTTTAATAACATAACAACTTATTAAAAACATAAATTTGATTAACATAATAGTTTTAGATAGACTATATTTGTAATTAAATAAAATAATAGTAAGTAAAATGGATAAAAAATATTATGCAATAAATCACAATAATTTTAACTTGAAAAACTAACTATTTTTTAAAAATATTTTAAATTTTATTTAATTATAATAGTGAGTGTTTTAATTAATAATAATTATTAAATTGATTCATACTTATATCAATATATATATATATAGATTATTTTAATTAGTATTAAGTCCTCTAAAATCATTATTAATTGATAAGTCGTCCACAATGTTATCATTTTTTGTATTACGAAATTTGATGAAATATTTTGGATTAAATTTTCTATTTTAAAAAAATTTACTAAATTAAATAAATATAATAATTATTAGAGTCACTTACATATGAGTTTTGCGATATATTATAATATATGCAATTAATTTGAAAATAATAGCCAGTAATACAATAGTTAAGATAATCCAATGAATCTGTGAATTACTTGTTGTATTCATACAAGTAATTGTTTGATTTAAATCCTTTTTAAAAAAATATTTAATTTTTAAAAATAAATAGACAATTATAATAATAATATTAAATACAGTATAATTTCATACCATTTCTGGTGATGTTGTTATCAACTCTATTGTCTCAACAACTATAGTTGTATTTAACATCATAGTTGGCTCATAACTACAAAATATATGTTCATCTATATCTACCAAACATTGACTACCGTTCCAATAGTGTCCGATCGGACACATACACGTATATCTTTGGTTGCTATCTGGTGGTAACGGCATACACATATAGTTGCAGTTATGATTGAGACAGCGATCCGGCTGACCGTTTGGTTGTAGGGAACGGGAGATAATTTTAAAATAATTGATTCTTAACCTGGATTGTTCGGTTATTACAATTATTTGTCTATTTGTCGATAGTTGACTATCTAGTATAGGTGCCATCGATATACTATTATCTAGTCTACTGATCCAATATACGCTATCATTCATGATATCAATAATATTATTATTAGTTTCTAAATAACTACTCGTTTCTGTATAGACTTGTTTGCTGTCGGTGTCGGTGTTGTCATAATTATGACAAACTAATACATAAGTATTATTATTTTCTAACCAACACAATCGTCTACTATTGATATCAATAGTCAACGATTTACGTAATATATCCGTGTCTACGGCAATCGCTGTCCTATTCTGGCCATTCAGTAGCGATCGCATTATTTTCTGTGTCCTTAGATTACTATATTTCGGGAACTCTGACCAAAATAGATAACCGACTATTGGATCGACTTTTATGACGTCAATCACTATATGACATCCACCAGTAGTGTACACTTTAACTCTATGTGTCGGTGCCGTCAGATTAGCGGCTGTTATGCCAAAATCGTTACATTTATTGTCGCAAACAGGATAATAGGCCAAATGGTGTATCCAATCGACGGCCAGTGCATTGACATTATAATAGCTCAACGAAATTTTAATTAGCAAACATGTTGTTGTGGACAGTCCTGCTATAGCACTGGGCATTCTAGGATCCAGTAGTTTAATACACAGTGTATTGTTATTAGTTGAATAATTATTGTTAAGTATAACAATATAGTTACCGACAATACTGTAATCAATGGTAACTCTATTATTAAAATTTAGTTCAAAATATTCACTTGTATTATCCAAATAATTGGTGCTAACTGTTGTTGTACTGTTAGGTATTGATAACAATCGTATCTCATTGATATCATTTAGATAAATAATTAGGGGATCGCCACTGGATACTAGATTACTAATAGCTGTGGTATTATAATTTTCATGCGGTATCGGTCCAAATGGTTCACTACTATTGCACCATTGGTTTTGTGGTACTTTAGGACACAAACATCTAGACGTTTGTTGTTTATGTTGACCATTATCATCATCACTATTACCACCACCAACACCAGTTGGCACACATATGTGATAACATGTCTTGTTTTGACAATAATTGATTGGTTCAATACCTGCCGGCTGTTTAATGGGATTAATAATTTTGAAAAACTCTACCCATTTATAATCAATATTTATATTACTGGGCTCTAGGCTATCATCCATCAGCTGATGATTGTTGTTATCAATTGTTGTTATTAATGGCAATCTGTATATATTAAAAGCTGTCGACCAATATATGGATCCGTTAAATATGTCCATTGACTTACAATTACTGAAATATTTGGCCGACTTGTTGAGCGTTTTTCGTTTGTTTCCCATATAATCAATAGATGATAACAAATACAATACAGTATCAATCCATACAATCTGTTTGGTTGTGTAGTCAATGGCCATACATTCGGGTCGTATAATGTTTTTATAAACCAAAATTTTTAGTCCACTGCCATCCGGATTGCTTTTGACTATTAGACCCCTGTTTTTATATTGTGTCCAAACAATAAAACCATTATCGTATGGATTGACGGCTATACATGAGACAGTATAACCAACTTTATTGTGTATAAGTTGATAGCTGTGTCCAGGTTTATGGACATCCATTACATAGATATGACTATAACTTGTAAAATAAATCAAATTGTGTATCCGATCCAAGACTAACGGTCCCGTGGTTTTATTGGCCAACAATACTGTTGTTGTCGACCATTGTATTTGATACTTATTTTCGTCCTCATCATCACTAATATATTTTATATTTGCCACATGTGTTATATACATACTTTTCCATATAATATACTGATCCTCTAAATCCATGTCCATTACTGTCCAATACTGTCCGCTATTATCTAATTTTTTTGAATTTTTATCTCTATAGACATTGTTGTTGATGTCATAATCAAAATAATTGATATTTCCGTGTGTACTGACAAACATAACTGTATTATTATTTTTATTAATATTATTGTTTATTAAATTATTAAATAATAAACATGTATTAATATTAAACAAAATTATTATTAGTATTGTAGAAATAATGATTATACTATTAAAAAACATTATCTATTTATTTATGTTTTTTTTACTATTTAGTTGAATTTATTTATTTCTTTAATTATAAAACACTAAATTAAATTTATAATGATTTTAATAATATATTTATAGTAGTAAAAGTTATATTAAATTAGTTTTTAAAAAACAGTATACTATTCAAAAATAATATTATTTATAAATATCAGTATTTAAATAAATTATATTTTAATTTACATAATTATAATATATATCATGGTCTTGTAGTTACTAAATAATAATCATTGATATAATTAATAAACAATAAAATTAATTAATTAAAAACTCTTTTAAGTGCATTAAACATAATAATATTATTTTTTTAAAAATAATTTTTATTTATTAAATATTTTTTAACTATTAATTAAATAGTATCTTTCATTACAGTATTATACTGTATTAATTTAATATAATATTATCATATATTATCATTTTATCGTAGTTTACATTAAATATAAAAAAATAGATAATACATATAAACATTTTTTAATGATTTATAATAGCAAAAATATGGGTTTTTAAATTTAATAATATCTTATAAAAAATAAAATATTTATCTTTATATATTTTTAGTAACTTTGAAGTAAAATTATATAATTTTTTTATGTACTTAATTATATATCACAATAGTTGTAATTAAAATAATGAAACTGTTAAAAAATTTTGACTATTAAATAAAATATTATTAACTTGAAAAATATATAAATTATTTAAAATAAATATTTTAAAAATATGTTATAAGTTTAATTTTATTGAATTATAAATTTATTATTAATTGTCATAAACTGATAATTATTATTAAATTCACTAATACTTATTTTTAAATAACTATAATTATTGTTATTAAATTTTTATTATAGTTAAATCGCTAAATTTTAATTATTATAAAGTTTTCTAAAATCATTATTAATTAATATGTCGCTACAATATTATCATTTTTATTGTTACAAAATTTATCATATAAACATTATCAAATTATTTATTATTTAAAAAAAATTAGTTTCATGTAACAGTACTAAATATCAATAAACATTTACTAAATATACTATTTGTGTTATATAGTAGAATAGTTTTATATTTATTTAATATATGTTGTAAATATTTTTAATAGATATAACATTGAAATAAATAAATTGACGATAAATTGACGATAAATAATTGTTTAAATAAATTAGGAAATAATAAAAAGGAAATTTACGATTAAATACTATAACATTTTCAACAAAAAAAAAATAATCAAATCATATATTATATCACTGGTTATCATATAATATTGTTTAGTATTTATTAGTCTATTGTAATTTTAAAAAATAAA